CCTTTACAACGCACCCAACACTGCAGCAGAGCGAGCGTTGGAGCCTTTACAACGCACCCAACGCTTCAGTTGAGCGAGCGTTGGAACCTTTACAACGCACCCAACGCTTCAGTAGAGCGAGCGTTAGGACGATTGCAAGGCACCCAAAGCTCAATTTCTCCTGTAAATCCTTTCTTTCTGGGACTATTGCAACACATAAAGTAGATAAGATTCTGTAATTGAGATAAGAAGCACGATATCTTGAACAATCAATATTAGGACTGGTTTTCCGTGTTGTGCGATGAACTTATCAATTTCTAGTTTATAATATATTTTAAAATACTGCTAGGGGAACATTTTCTCAACATATTTCTGTACTCGAATTAATCCAAAAGAAATGCCACTCAAAATATTCATAAAATTACACAGTTTCTTGTTCTCTGTTAAATTCCGTATATGAACAATTACGGGAAAAAAATTGTATGGCATTGTACAATATTTCATTGAATAAAAAATCGTACAAAAGTACAACCTTTAATAAATCTTTAATATAAATTTCACTTCTAATCCCTCATGCGTCATCAATTCAAGCCTGATTCATTAGTAATGAGTCACGCTGCATTCCAGGCTTTACCTGCGCCGGCGAGTTATGAATGTTATCAGTCATATGTAAGCACCAATTTAATAACGTCTCAGAACTCCTCGTTACACCTCTCGTCAATTTATTATATTGAGTTATTACATTATATCTCAATTATGACTCAATTTTGAAAGAATGACGCGAAATAAGTTTAAATATTAATTTTAGTAACCAAGTTTAAGAACAAATTTCGTGCTTGCGTGGCCCACGTGGCGTTAGGAACCAGCTTCGATGCATTTATAAAAATCTGTCTATTCATCGGGAACGATTTTCTTAGTTATTTTTGTATTCACTTAATTTGTTCAGCACTTCTAATTCTTTAATTAAATTATTCCTTTGGCAGTGTAGCAGCCCAAGACGATAAGCGCGTTCAAACCAAGGCTATGAAGAATTGATCACAGCGATTAGAGTTCTAGAAGGTTTATATGAATCACTTTTAAAATTCAACTGAAAAATTGAAGGCACGTTAACGAAAACAAATCCATATTTCAGAAATAAGTCATGTAACTAAATTCGAATGTGAAAAAACATTACGTCATCGAAGATCTTTGTTCCCGCCCAACCATGTAGGCCTAAATTCAAGAAAAAACACGAGGCACAACCAAGACTTTTGGTGCAAACGAATTTTAAAAAAATATAACTCAGTACTCACTGCAGTGAGTGACAGAGAGCGCATTTTCTCGTCGACGAAAACTTGAGGTCACGGACAAACGGACGGACAGACAGACAGACAGACGGACAGACGGACATGGCGAGCACAATAGTGCATTTTTTCCATAAATGGGAAAATGCGCTAAAAAGCTTCGGTGAGTCATCAGAATGTGGTCGATACGAGTACAGCTCGCTTATCTTCATAGTATCTTTCTTTCCCATGAAGCGTACCGATAATACTGATAATATCTTGGTCGGTCGTTTGTTATTATATCGGAATGCGAAGATTCTAAGCATGAAGCTTGTGTAGCTTTTTATGCGAAATCTATGTGAGTTTATTTGAAATAATAAGATTAGCTGAGTATTAAATTCTTAATTTGTTCGTTTTGGTTCATGTATTTAATATAAAAGGCATCACAAATAGAACATATATTTCTTAATAATTCTAATAATAGTTGACATTATCCTACTATATATAAGGCGAGTCCTACAAAAAGAAGTCCTACGAAGACGATCCTACAAAGATGAGTCCTACAAAGATGAGTCCTACAAAGACGAGTCCTACAAAGACGATCCTACAAAGATGAGTCCTACAAAGACGAGTCCTACAAAGACGAGTCCCACAAAGACGATCCTACAAAGATGAGTCCCGTGAAGATGAGTCCAATAAAACGACTCGTCTTCATGAATCATATAGAAGCATTCGTTACGATAAATGAATGTGGCGACTGCGTCACTGCATCGACTGAACGACGTTCATAGCGAGTGCGTGATTACAAACACTGCCAAGCTGCCGAGGCCCCCTCAGTGCCAAGCCCCCCTCAGTGCCAAGCCCCCCTCAGTGCCAGGGCATTAATGGCACTCGTGACCTTAGCGCGAGTTCTACCTTGAGGGCATAGGGCTGCACGGCGACATAAAAGACAAGGCAACACGGCGATGATTCGAGTTGTTTTCATATGCGCTTATGTATTGTTGTAAACTGAGAACGTATTATAAATTTTCATTAAAAATAGCTGGTGCAGGCAATAAATGATTAACCAGTGAAGATTTCTCGACACCATTGATGGTAGATGGTTTTAATGAATTTTAAAAGCCCTAGAAAAAATGAAGTGCTTATTTCTTCTCAATTCTATTTTCAACTGCTTCCAATACCCAACCCAGGCTACGTAAGGTACACGTTTAAAACAGTTTGTCGGTTAATTTGCTAATCAAATTAGGGCAATTAAGACTAAACGAGGGGGCTTATACTTCTGACTCAGTATTGATCGAACTAAAATTTTTCGTAAATTTCGGTCGTTCACCACTAACCATAAAGTCACAACGAAGCGAACGGTGCGTGCGTTCACTCAATCGTTAATGGCTGCTGCTCGGCATGGTTTGTGCATAACAAATAGGTACTGTCAACGATACAAGATATATTTCGTTCCGACTACCATATATGTGAACGAAATTGATTTGGTACGCAATAATGAACTGAAATTGAATTAAATTAACCAGTCAGTTTCTATTCATTTACATATTTACAGTATATAGAAGCTACGAGGTCAATGAGTTCTTTGCAGTCATGTGATAGAATTGCGCCATATGACAACCCTCCTTGCAACGCCAGCCAAATGCTCAAAGCTTGGCTTGTGATTGGTGCGTAGTAATATCCTAGTGGTGTGATGGTGACGTCAAGAGGGCCTCTCAACAACGTCACAACTCTTGTTCTTCCCAGGAAATATGCGCAGCTTTGAGGAAGACACAACACTAACGGTATCATAGACAGACACAATCTCAGGCTATTTTCAGAATTCAGAATGTACGGAATAAATTTTGTATTATAAGGGCAAAGCAAGGGAATTGCGAATGATCCAGAGTATTGTTTTTTTTTATGAGCATTATGAATCACGCAATCTCGTTTCACTTGTGCAACAGCTCGTTTTATTAAACTCAACAATGGTTGCACAATATTTTTTCGGTTGAGAAATACATAATTCATGAAATTTTTTTACAATAATGCTATTTTCATGTGATACTGAAGGGCAAGTCATAACAGGAAAAACTGTGTAGTTCGGACATGTTTTCCTTGTGAGTTTCGTGTAAACACAATATCTTCGCATTGAATTCTTTAGTTTTTATTTTTATGATTTAATAACCTTGCCATTGAGAGCTTGCGCCTCGTTTTATTATTGGAAAACAACCTATTTCTCTAATTTTTATCATTTATATGTTTCACACAGTTGTTCTCGTTTTGCGGCTCAAGCAATAAATATTTAACGTGTGTAACTTTGTAAGTTTAACCCGACAAACTACTCGATATGTACCAAATACTGCTGATCAACTTGCTCTTTATACTGCTATAAGCGAGTCCACTGAGTCCATACGGGCAGTTATAGGGGTAAACTATCAAGAGGATAAATAGTGTTTTTTTCTGTATTTTCCTCGTGCTTTGTCTCATCACTAGGAAGGTTACGGCTGTATATATTATTTGTGATTAAATGAGTATATTACTCATGGCTTTGCCTTTGTTTTATATAGGTTTGACGGTCATCAATATATGCAAACGGTAATCTAGTCTGAAATGTGGTGAAAATTAGTGCGTAATATTTTATAGTTAGTCGTTTGGTACAAAGCCAGTTGAACCTCGATAACTATTATACGTCATTCTAATGAATCAAATATTTTATGCGGGTCAAGTTAGAATTGAATCTGTCCTCATATAAGACTACAATAAAGCAAATCAATAGTTAGTTTTTTTTAGTTGACTGTGATCGTGTCTGACATATCCTAGCGATAATGTCGAGTACAACACAACATAAATAGACAAACACTCGATGTAGTTGTAAATAGATTAAGCCTGAGTAACCCCTGTCTGTAAATCCTGCTGATTTATACTGATATATTCTAAATTAGCAGCAAACGTTTCATGTTAATGACGCGTTACCCGTCATGGGTTATTTTCATATGATACAACCGTCTTAGTTGGAATTTAGAATGTCGCGAAGTGGAAAAAATTATATTTGCGGTAATTATTATTTTGTTTACCGAGCTTTTCCTAATAATTCATGAATACTGTGAAGTAATCGAAAAGAATTTGTGTCCAAATAAATCGTTTTATTCAGAGTCACATTTATTTTCCGCCATATTCCCGTCGTGCTTGTGCTTATTTATTCATTTCCTTTATTATAAAGCGTTACTTTACTTCAGGTCAGAAATAAGCCATAACAATATATATCGACATTTTGAGAAATGCACGAAAATTTACAAAACAACTCCTTTTTGTACATCCTTGTTTTAATATCGACACGAATTTTCATCATATTTTATCCAATTGAGGTTTTCAATTCCAATATATTCAAATGTTTTTGCATCCTGAAATCGAAACATGAAATAAGTCGTTAACGTGTTTTTCGTTTACAGATTTATTGAATTAATTTTTCTCTGGTTTGTTGCTATGTGACTTGAGCCAATCAGAATACGCATATGTTGCTAACTGTCACCAGATGAAATTAATGCTGGTAGCCATATAATGTATAAATGTCTGTTAACTTTAGTGGTAACTTTCTTATTATTTAGACAAATAAAAAACAATTTCTATACTTTCATGAATGAAAAGCATTGTCGACAAACTATGATTCTCATATATTTCATTGTGAAAGTAAATTTTCATGGAGGGGAACTAGTTCTAAGATCTGCGTATATAAGCGAGTGCGCACTTCAGTGCTCTTTGTCTTGATGAAATTGTAAGAGAGGAGGGTGTGCGACACAGTCGCTTTAGCATAAGTTATTATTAACTTGTGTTCTATGCCAAGGTGTATCTTAGAAGAGTACAAACTTTTTAAATCGTATTACGCAAGTGCATCTTGGTTTCTGTTGGAAGAACAAGTTTTAATGCGAGTTTATATTGAGCAAACTTCTGCTGCTCCAATTTCTCTCCGCCATTTTGATTCCAAGTCGTTCTCAGCGACCTCACGGCAAACGCCACCAATTTGCTTGGTGCGCTTTAGCATTATATTCATCGTAGTCGTCATCTCATCATTTCATTAGCACTACTGCATCATCTACATAATATATTGCTGTTGGCCTCGCCAATGGCTCCCAACGCATCATTGAACTACATGGAATATTCTAGACCCTCAACGATGTCCTCTGGACCCAAGCCCCATCATCGTCGGCCCTCTGTAAATGGCCGCTCCAGCCTGAGTCCGTCCTACATGCTCTACCAGTCTTTTTCTGCACCCTCCTTTCATGAGAGGTTTCCTCAGCACTCTGAGGTGAGTTGAAGCTTTATTTTTGTTATGACAATCATACATTTTGTCAGGTTCAAGTCGAGCTCAGCCGTTATCGACATGACGACATTTGACACACAGGTCGCCACTCAGACTCAGGCCGTCAGATGCAGATAGATAGGAAATAGGTACTCGCAACTTCAGAAGCATATGATTCTTGGCAGACCTGCAATTTTTAGTAGTCCTTAACCGCATGATGACTATAAAGCTTTATTTTTTTATTGCGCCAAAGCGGCTAAAGAGTTGTAGGCTAGTTCAGTTTTGTTGGTAAAATTGTTTTTTTAGAAATCTGGTGAGAGCTCTGTGGTGATTGATGACATGTGTGGCATAGGCATTGCTGCATTGACATTAAATAATTGGTATTTTTTTATTTATGTAATTTAGCTACCTAATGTTGTAAATAATGTGCAGAATGAGACAGTTGAGACTGGTTCTTCATGATGGTTTATCAACTTCAACTTGGTAGTTTGTTTATTGCTATGGCATACTCATAAATTTTCCTGGCATAATTTTTTGGAAAAAGAACTATATTATAGATTTGCTTTCTATTGATCTTGCATTAGCCATTAGCTGCATAGCTAAGCTTAATGAAATTTTTTCTTTCTTCTAGCTCTTTGGTTGTTGAAAGAATTATTCAAGATGGTTTAAATTTCCAACTTGCAAACTATACACATTTGAATCTGCCCAAGCATAAAAAATTTATCTATAATGATGGGTTTTCTAAAAAAATTAGTGTTACAAGACCAAGATCAATATTTATTTTTAATCTGTAGTTATGAATTTGCCATTTGTTTCATTACCACAATAAACATCAGTCAAGTATATATATATATACATATGCAAGTTTGATTGAAGACCAGAGCATGCTTTTTATTAACAATATTCTTGTTCGTCTTTTCAATGAGTCAAACCAAATTTCTAGCTGGAGCCGGGAGATCAAAAAGCAGGTTTCCGAATGACATATTAATAGATTGCGACATTTCGAAAATACAATTTTAATTATCAAGCTGGTGAAGGTTTTACAACACTTGAAATTCAATTTTGGAAATGACAGAAGTACATATGAATGGTATAGTGGATACAATAAAATAAGTAATGTGGATACAACAAAATGTATAAGCTTAAAATTACTCTGAAAATAATTTCAGCGTCCGGACGAATCCTGTAGTTTGGAGGTTTATAGCTGGAGACTCGTTCTTGATAATGAGGGCCTCAGCTATCACCAGTCTCGATGGGTCAGGGCACTGCATAACTATGCTGATGCAGGCCTCCAATGTCGCTTGGGTGGTGGTCTCATTGTGAGCTTCCTGCATGTGGTTCTTGGGTCCTCCAGATTGTAGATGGCATGTGAGTTGGCGGCTTAAGGTCGTGCTTGTTAGACCAATGTAGTTCATATTTTGAAGAAGTCTACAACCTTCTTTATTACATGAGAATTTATAAACATTAGTTTCTTGAAGCAGTCTGGAAAAACCTTATAATGAACAATAATCCTTGTAAAAAATCAGGACTGCTTCAAGAAACTAATGTTTATAAATTCTCATGTAATAAGGAAGGTTGTAGACTTCTTCAAAATATGAACTACATTGGTCTAACAAGCACGACCTTAAGCCGCCAACTCACATGCCATCTACAATCTGGAGGACCCAAGAACCACATGCGGTAAGCTCACAATGAGACCATCAACCGAGCGACATTGGAGGCCTTCACCAGCATAGTTATGTGGTGCCCTGACCCATCAAGACTGGCAATAGCTGAGGCCCCCATTATAAAGAATGAGTCTCCAGCTATCAACCTTCAAACTACAGGATTTGTTCGGACGCTGAAATTATTTTCAAAGTAATTTTAAGCTTATACATTTTGTTGTATCCACATTACTTATTTTATTGTATCCACTATACCATTCATATGTACTTCTGTCATTTCCAAAATTGAATTTCAAGTGTTGTAAAACCTTCACCAGCTTGATAATGAAAATTATTTTTTCAAAACGTCTCAATCTATTAAAATGTCATTCGGAAACCTGCTTTTGATCTCCTGGCTCCGGCTAGAAATTTGGTTTGACTCATTGAAAAGACAAACAAGAAGATTGTTGATAAAAAGCATGCTCTGGTCTTCAATCAAACTTGCATAAAAGAGAAGCTTCTGCCAAACTACACCAATATATACATACATATATATACATTTTTAGCATATTTCTCATTTATGGAAAAAATGCACTATTGTGCTTGCCATGTCCATCTGTCTGTCTGTCTGTCTGTCCGCGACCTCGAGTTTTCGTCGACGAGAAAATGCACTCTGTCACTCACTGCAGTAGTACTGACTTAGTGAGTTATATTTTTATATATATATGTATATTCGTATTATTACTGTATATGTATATACAAACTACAAAGTAGAGAATTTTAAAGACCCTTTGTGAGTCCTGTCTGTAGACCAACAAAGTATCATGGTTATTAGTAATAATTAGTAATGCCAATCCTTGATATTTAATACATTTTTAAACTTAATAGGGGAATTAAATATTAACTGATTTAAAAAAAATCTCCAATATGCCAGTCTCTGATTTGTGTCTTAGTTTTCTCATGAAGGCCAGCCTTTTACTGAATTGGCAGAATATTTTATTTGTCTTGAATTCATGCCATTTTCTTGTTGATTGAATTTTATCTCAATTCCCCTAACATGTCATGATTGAAAATTAATTAATAATTAGTAGTTGGAAAATTTATTTGATTCAGTTATGAGTTAATGACCAAGATCAATAGAGAACAATTTTGACTAATTTTATCTATGAATTGTTTTCACTTGAATCTTTTTGATCAAGCTTTTGTAAAATTTGGAAGCAGAGTAGAACTGTACAAATTGTATCTTGTAATTATGAATGGAACCATCACGACAACTTGCTTAGTTGAAATTTTTTACTTAAGACCTGTCAGGAAAGTTGGGTTCTAGGCTTTTAGTTGTGTATCTTTTCATACATTTCATTTCTTGAATTCCACCCTGTTTAGATGGGAGATTGGGTGAAGATTGTTCAGTAAACATTGAATCAAAGAAGCAAGTACAGTTTTTTTTTTAATTGTGCAAGATGGCTAGAACCATATTGAATTTTTTAACCTAAATTTGTCTAATTTCACTCTACTTCAAGTGTCTTATGTAAGTAGTTGATGTGCTTAGTTTGTGGCATGGTCATGCTGTTGAGTTGTACTCATTCTCATTTACTTTAATCTAATATTCAATTTTTTTCTTCCTCAGGTTCAGCATTCAAGTTTCAAACCTTGTGCTGATGCCATGAAAAGAGATTATCCTCCATATCAAAAGGATCCTAATTGGCCTTATTCCGTTCACAAAATTCTTCAGCGTGCACCCCAGCAGAATTCTCAATTTTATCCTAAGAGAAGATCTCAATCAGAATGCAACTCCTATCTTCCTTCCAAATCCAATCAAAATCAACCAGACATGCATTTCAATTCCATTCTCAAATCCTCCACTCGGACTACTAAAAGTAGTGTCTCCAAGAGCAAATCTGCTCCAACAGTACTCCCATCCACTGCTGTAACATGTACGGAACTTGAGGCCATGGTCAGTAAGAACAGTCAGAAATTGCTCACATGTGCTGAACTGGAAGCTCTTCAAGCTCAGGGGATTAAAATGGAAACAAACTCTGGCTTAAGCAGAAGCCCATCTGTTTCTTCAGTGACCAGTGCATTAGAAGAGTTGTCCAGCCGGCCAAGCAGTCCTATCTCCTGTTCATCGCCTGTACCGTCTGTTTCATCATCATCTTCAGGGTATGAATCTTGCTCTGGGGATGTTTTTGAGTCCACCACTAAAAGCATTATAAGTGTCCTGGAAGATTCAACTGAGAATATTTCTGAAGATGAAGCTGAATTCTTACTTGGCAAGAAGAAGGTCAGCAAATCACTCCTGAGCTTCTTCAATGCAGTGGCACCTAAGCCCTCTGAATCTCAGGATGAAGTCTCAATTAAGGTTGAGAAAGCCAGCTCTGTAGATGTTGGCATGGAGGGTCTAATTCCTTTTGTTTTACCATCCAAATTTGTGCAAGAAAATAAATCTGTTGTCTCTGTTCCAACTAAGTCAGTTCAAAAGAAAACTCAGAAGAAAAAGCCTTGCTCAAGTAATTTTCAGCCTACACCCATTCATTCTGAGAAAAGTCATGCAGCTCATACCCTTAGCAAGAACATGTCAGCTTCTGGATGTACCAGCAGGAAAAATAGTCGTAAAATGACTGTGGTGGCTCTGCCACCATCTCCTAACACAGTCATGCCTCTGATGACAAGTCCTCCTGTAGCTCTCAATCTGCCATCTCCGCCTAAACAATGGAGAAATGTTGGCAGTAGCCCAGCTGACAGCATGACTAGAATCTCAGGAGAAATTCTGGATGTAACACAGCAAATGAAGAAAATAGCTGCGGTTACAGTGGAGGTTCCTGCTGCACCTCCCATTACTGTCTGCTGAGTGATTTGTGTCTGCCAATTGTGTTTAAATGTGAACGGTGCTCATTGGAGAAGTATGGCAATTTATGATTATTATATTAGTATTAATTCTTGGTAAAAGACAATCCGTGCTGCTTAGCATGAGTGGGTCCTTTAATGGCGGTGTTGAAGTACATGCCTAAAGCTGGCATTGGTGCTTCCAGTCATTGTTTGTGGAATGGGTGTAGGAATTACTTGTGCAGAAACTTTTTTTCTTTCAATGGAGCCATTTGTTATATTATTAAATTAAGGATGGTTGTGAGTGCTGCAAGTGTTGAGCTATGTTATTGCTTGTTTAAGAGTGTGAGTGCTTGATAAGACTGTTTTCTAAATTATCATGCTACCAATTCAGTTGTTGGTTTGCTTTACAGCATCCATAGTATGTCTGGTCAAAATTTCCATGTCATGGTGTAGTAATCTGTTGTGGTATTTATGTAATTTAATCATGGAGTATTTAAGTTTCTGCATCATGATTGTAATGTCCTATTTTCTAGCCCATACAATGTCTGTGATGACACACTGCCTTGATAGATCTCCCATTAACGTGGGTCTTATCATGGTTGTGTGTGGAAAACTCGAGTCAATGCTTTAGGTATTTTGTGTGCAATACTGACCTTAAAAACACCTCTTGCTTCATTTAAGCTTTGTTGTTAGCATATTGGCCAGGTTATATAGGTAAGCTTTTGACGGATTTGTGTACAATATGTCTGAGATACTGTTTTTTCTGTGATAACTGAAAGAATGAATGATGTGGTACAAACAAGCTGCAGCGAGGATGCTCAGCAATAATTCTCTAGCATCGAAGCACTGGCTTGTCATGGCCTGGTGTGGTAGATGTGCCCAGCAGTTTTTCAGTTGCCTTTGAGTTGTCTTGTGCAAACCAAATGCCCTTTTTTTTCTTTCTCATGTGCTGGTAATTTAATTCTAAGCTCTTGGTCATTCATCGACTCTGCACGTGGTGTGCTTCCTTGCAAATCAAGCTATGATTGACATGCATTAGATACGGTTGGTCAATCGTGTTAGACTAGTGATTCTGATAATGTAGCTCAGCCTACCATTGTTCTCCAACTGATCTCTGCTGTCACTCCTATGCATGTGATTTGCTCTAGGTTGGCATCCTCAAAGTTATGTTTACCGAGGAAAGCTTAGAGTCTTTTACTTGGCACAACATAGTGAAGTTGAAAAAGGGCCAGCCTTTTAGTGTATAAGTGACCCATGAACGAGCTGCTCTCAGGCAATTGTCGCACTGCAGGCACTCGTGCACCCATTATTGACACTTGTAAGTTGCATTGAATTGTAACATCAATTTTTGCTGTGCTCATTCTCGAGATTAGTTGACTATCATTGCAAGGTTCAAGGACCCGTGACATAAAGTCATAGCTTTAACGTTGTTGTGTAGTCCATCTGAGCTAATAATTTGTTTAGCCCTGGTAGAGTTTGCAAAGCATTTTCAGTTCCCAAATCTTCTGATAAGCCTTGGGTCGTGATTACTGTGAAGTGAAGCACATTTATTGCGCCTCACGGCAAATTCTCTGCTCCGGTGAAATCATTTAATAGAAATTATTACTGTGATTGTGCTCTGCACCCAATCATAATTTCATGTCCAGTGTTATATTTTTTGAGTTCTATGCAGTTCAAATTTGAAAATTCAAAAATGTACCGCTCTCTACATTTTTGCTTATGCTCGAGCCAATAGTTGACCCGAATAACAGCAATTTGAAATGGTCCAACTGCCGGTAAATTTTATGGTGCACCAAATAGAGATTTATTTATGTTTTTATTTTTTCTAGTTCTATTGTACATGTACGAAAATTTTCCATTGACCCAGATTCAGACCCTGTTGTGTTATGTATTGCATTGGAGTCTTTCGTGCCGTTTTGGGAAAAATTGTTAACTCTCATAATTTTAAATTGATTCTAGACTGCAAACTCGAGCCAACCTGCTAAATGATATTGATATTTTTAATTTTTAACTGAAAATTTCCTTGGGTTTTTATTTTAAATGTTTTGCCAGTGCCACAACATACTGCCTTTGTACAAGACTCTAGCAATAAAAATCGAACATTCTATTATTGATATCTTCAGGCATTCTATCTGAAAAGGTAATCAACTTTTATATCTGTTACATTCAAACATCGTTCCGACTCACGTTCCTTCGAGTTTGTCTTCTGTTCAGATCTCATGAAAATTGGCACTTGAGAAACTTTAATATTGTTAAGTATTTGTTAATTTTGCTTAAATTCATTTGATTGGGCTCCAATTTAATAATGCTCAGTAATTGACGTGTGAGTCTTGTATGAAGTCACTTGTGTTGTTCCTAGTAAGCTGTTGCTCAGCTACAGGATCGCGTCCAAAAACATAATTCACGATGCACGCTAGTCCAGGTATCTTCCTGCTTTTTACGTTTTGTTTCTTTTATTGATTTCTGGTGTATTAACTTTGCTTTCCCTGTGACCTTGTGATGTATATTTTTTTCTACTTTAAGATTGCATAAATAGGCTGCTGTGTTCTAACGGACCTGAGCAGTCGTTAGGGTAGGCGATACAAGTGCCAATTTAGTGCGCTAGAACTCTCCTGCCATGTCTGTGTAAGGTCTCTGCTAGTAATATTGTATCATGTGGTTTAGGTAGGGTGGGATATCTGCTATAGAATGCATTTAATGCGTTTAATGTAAGTCATTACTTGTGAGCTGTATCAACATTCCACGGGTTGGGGGAAAGGTGATGTTGAAGGAGAATCTAGAGATAGGAAAGAGAAACGTATTGCACTGGCTTACGGATGGGGCTCGTTTGTTGTGAGAGCTCGCCCAGGCTGTGGTCGCTCAATGTTACCATTGAACGATTTCACAGTTTAAAACGATCGAGTTCGGTGTGCTTCCGAGGGTTGTTTCGAGACCTTTTACGCACAGGTCATTTGCTATGCACAAGCTTTTAATGCTATTCTGCATTATGCAGTGTTAGCTATGACACAATGTACTTACGCTCTCTGTGTAGCCGGTGCCTTTCTCTAGCAAAGCTTGACAAGCAAGGTCAGTGAGTGAGCTTGGTTTCCATGAAATGTACCGTGCTTCTGTTTTCCTGTTGACATACACGCTCATCTGATTCTCTTGGTGTTGGATACTCGGGGACAGCTCATATGTGTTGCTGGTGTCGGAGTCGTGCACTCTCTGCTTGCTCTTCAAACTATCAATTGTGGCTATCCCGATTTACCAACCACCAAGACGGCAGAAGCAAGATGACACTCGTGTCAGGTCCTGGAACTCAGATACGAGTTGACATGTAAAAATAGTTCGGGAATATGCAGCTCCATTCGTCGTACAAACTAAAGGAAAATTTAATTAATAGCCTTGGGCAGAAAATAGTATTAAGTTGGAATTTTTCAGGAAGGGTAGTCTCCATTTTTTGGTCATATTGGCGCAAAGTATGATAGCTGCGATGGCCGCGACAAGCCCAATGATCTCAGGAGCGTTCGCCGAAATACTCGCGTCTTTATTTGGGTGAGGTCAGAAGCCTCGCTTGCTGTTTGTTATGTTGTTGTTAGTGCCGGCGTGCACCGAGACCAAAGACCGCTTTCTGATGGCGGTATCATATCATGCGGCCCTAATACTAATTGACTTAACTAATGTGTGTGTGTGTGTGTATCTTCTTATAAGTCACTCGGTCACAGGGAGACCAACTAAACCAATTGTATGTCATTGTGAATCTAAGGAGAATTGAAGCGCTGTGATAAACGAGGCATCCAATTCTGAAGCCGCCAACTTCAACTCTCCTTCCTTGCTAGTATTAAGAGACGTTTGTTAAGCCTTCGAGAAGGCGTTGCGCTAGAGTTGGACAAATTTTCGGTAATGTACAAAGAATTATTTCTATATATCATTCAGGAAAAAATGAAAACATAAAAAAAATTAGGTTCACCATCGAACTTCGGTACCTGACAGCCATTTGCTTTATCGACCTTCTGACCATAGCCGCCCACCCCGGCTCTAGGTTCATATAGAAGTGATGTTTCTAACGAAAAAGAAACATCCGTTACGGTGGGCAATGCAATTCTAATTTTTAGAAATCATTCGGGCAAAATTACTGACACTTGGCTTGTTTAATTACCAAAAACATATTTCTCATTCATGAGTGAATGTGAGCGTGCCTGATATGAAGTGTGCGAGGAGTGAGTAGCTAGTCAAAAGCTCAGTGTGAAGTGCTAAGAATGCATGAGGCCCATTCTAATGCATAGTTTGTATTTTTATGAGAAATTCTTTGCACTCTTACTATTTTTCCCTCCTGTCTATTCTTCTTTGGCTCACTGCGCCCTGTAGTGCCTTCCTTTCCGGGCTCGCCCTAGAGCCCACCAATATTTTAATAAGGGGATAGTAACGCAATACAACCCCAATTCTTCAGCCCTTGTCTCAACTTACTCTAACCTAACTTACTTCTTCCCACAGGCGGTGTTTGCATTAAACTCTGTCAACTTGTTTCATTAACCTGTCATGAAATGGCGGTTGAATTCATCTTGACGTTGAATCGATGTGTAGGTTGAAGTAACTTTCCATGCGGTTGATGCATATACCTACAACTTCTGAAGAGAGAATTGAGGATTTCGCCCATTTGAATCTCACGGCCGTTTGTCGTGGTTGGGCTGTTTATTGAGAAATGCTACATGAATTATTATTTATAGATATTTTTTAATATTTACCGTTCATAACCTTCGGCTATCGCATTCACTTGCATATCCGCGAAGAAGACCTTGATTCCGTTAGATTTATGAGAGCGCCTTCTGGAGTTTCACCAAGATGGTGTTGGGCGAAAAGGCTCTGAATCGTTTTGGAGAATTCCGTTAACAGTTAATATAAATTCATATTTGGCAAGATTAATGCATGACCGACCTAGTTTATTGCTTGAAAGCGAAAAGTCGTGCTTTCTCTGATATATATGTAATCTTGTCACTGTGGCATTGAAAAGCGATTTAAGGAGAGAATAATGAGATCAGTTTTGTGGTACGGCTGGAGCGAATGGACGATGAACGAAAGAAAAATAGAAGTTAAAAACAACAATTAGCAGTGATGAATGAAGCATTCTGCAAGCGAGTTCATGGGAAGATGTAATAGCCTGAAAAATGTTATAACATATTCCATTAGCTTATCTTCGAAATCAGTAAACAAAGAACGAGACAAGAAAATCGTGTTTGCAAGGGAGACTGCCTTGTAAGTGATGTCTGTACGCCGTAGGCGTGGCTCGGTAAAAACCCAGGCGGCTATGGCTGAGCCAGTGCTTCCCATTTAAAATTATACAAATGGGTTAAACACTCAGGAAAGTTCCTGTAAATATGCACCAAAAAACAGGTTCAGATCCTCTGGCGTGTTTTACTTTTATTAACTAAATATACACACCTTTAACGTATTTTTAGAAAAGAAAACTCGTTTCATTAAACAGGTTAAATTTTTCGATAATTCCGAATAATTGATCGTTTCTGGAACGTTTTTGGATTAATTGCTCGAAACGTGCGATCTTCATACTATAACTCCCGTTAATTTTACTTAATCTGAATCGTGGCAATGCAATTTCCTTCCATGTGTTGTATCGAATTTTGAAAAAACAATTATGAGGAAATTAATCTAAAATAATCAGAAAGTTTACTACGTGTTCCAAATGGTATTAATAAAGGTATGTCGATAAACTATGGTTGGTGATCTAGGTTCGCAGTACATTCATTAGTCCCAATTTTTTGTGTCATAAGGTGATTGGATCTTCAACGGAGTATCGGGAATAGCTTAGTTTGTGCTGAATTTTCTACAACCAGTCGCATGTTCAGTAATACTTTATATATTACACTCTCAACAGTCTACTTCAAGATAGCTAAAATTGTTAGAAAGCCAATATAAATTTTGGACCCATGAGGGTTAGAAAGTAATCGAAGTGGCTTGTATATAGTATGTTCATTGTGGCTGGACATTAGTATGTGGACTTCTTCACCTGGTGAATTTTTCAAAGCTTGCGTAAAAATGAATCGTGAAAAATACTTAACAGGTTCTGAAAATAAATCTTGCCGTTATCATGTTTGCAACGCACGATAAGACTATAAATTTCAAAAGTCGTGACCTTATTTACCCAATAAAATGTTCAGTTAAGCTGGAGTTGCTCTCAGCTGGGCATTACGAGATTCAGGGTCAATGCATGCGCCGTACTGCGGTGATCATCTTCGAGGCGCGTTTCATGCGCATGCCTTCCTCGAGTTGGACGTTGATTGTCTATTTAGTACTAATTTCCCTTCAGATGGTCACCTTAAACCTTAGTGATGCCAAACTTCAGTTATATTGGAAAATAATTGTCCAAGCTTATAATTCTGTCAAAGGTTGACAGTCATAACCTTGAAGGGATCTGTCTGATCTAGTAAATCAATTAGTTAAAACCTGAAGGGTTTGGGTTCGTTTATCATTGTCCGAATAACATATTAAATATTCATTGGCCAGGGAAGGATAATGACAACACGTGTATCTAATCGTAAGTAGTAAAGATAGGTTCACGGGATACACTAAATAGAAGTTACAGGATCAAAGCACAGTATGTGCAGTAATTTTGGAGATGGAGTATAACGACACTGCGTGTTGGCTGAGTGCCGGAGTCTAGAGTTAACGGCATGACTGCAGCTGAAGGTGTAATATTGTCAACCTTAATTAAAGATTTCGGTGTAATGTTGTCAACCTCAGCCTGTTACTAGTGTCAACATGTTAGTTGTTACTTGTTAAGTTGTTACCAGTTACCACTTACAGGTATTTTTTCATGTTTCAGTTTGCTTACAGTTATTTTTACACAGTTATTTTTATGTTTCACCTTCCCTACATGGATGTTTACTTTAATCTACCAATCCCAAAAATAATCCACATATATATGCAAATAAATGACTGATTTTTTATGTGTATATGAGGATAATTTTTGAGATTCGTAGATTAAAGTAGACATCCATGTAGGGAAGGTAAAACATAAGAATAACTGTAATTTTTATTTACTATATCTAACCCGTACTAGTTCGGTTAGGATAATTGCAATAAAGTTGCATTGATATGTTTTAAAATTTTTTTATTATCATTAAATGTTTATGAGTAAATCCCAATAGCAGAACACTAAATATTTAGAGATTTCCAATAATTTTGGCCATTGTAGCGGCGCTACATTTTACTGTAGCGGTAGCGGTAGCGCCCGCTACATTTAGAGCATGTAGCGGTAGCGCCGCTACATTTCAATTAAAGTAGCGATGCCCAGCTCTGCTAGCAGGTAATAAGCAGAAAACTTTATACGCATGCCAAAGGACGACGTACTTTAATACGACTCATACCATCGGATTTCATAAAACCCCGTAGAGGCTCAATGGGAGAAGATCAGAAGAAGAGTATACAGATAAATTAATCGACCGTATTTTCCCCCATTATAGAAATGCCTGCCATTTCGGCCTTACTGAATATGCAGTAAGATTTTGTTATTTTTTTATGTTTTGTGTATTGGTAGCTGAATCTCTTTCACAGAAGATCTTGTGATTTGCATTTCCTGAATAGGAATAGAAATAAATAAGATAAGAATAGGGGGATTTGGGGATTGAGATGCGGAGTTTGAATTAAGGGGTGGAGCTCGAGCCGCCTAGCACGCATGCGCGGGACCGGGGGAGTATTTAACAGGAGGTAGCGGGCGACCGCGGGCAGTC